GGGGGGGGGGGGGCGGGAAGCGAATTCTGGGATATCGTGCGTTTCTGGGCCTTTTCCTTTTTTTTTCTTCTTTTTTTGAAAAGTGGGGCGGAACATGCCCCCCGACGCCACGCCGTTGTTTCTGTTACTCTTCAAGGTAAAGACACCCTGATCTCTCGGGATATTTTTGACTGCCTGTCGGTTCCGTCACATCTAAAACTTGGCAAACAACTTGGCAAACCTTTTGTGCTCGAAGAACGCAGCTTCCTCATAGCATTAACTTCTTACGACATGAAATGCAGTAGATAGTCATCCGATCTGCTTCGGTCTATGGATAAAATATGCCCTTGGCGGAAGCGATCCCATCCGACCCTTGGTGGCGTGGGTCCACCATGGTTGCTAGGAGATGAATTGTATTCAAACATTCAAAAAAGGGTACATTCAAGTATTTCGAGGGCAGGCCGACGGACGAGACAGAGATGAGCTGTAGGGGAAAAGAAAGGTCAGACCCAGATGGAGAACGAGAAGTCCAGTGCCGGAGAGGAAAATACTTACTGATCGCTGTTTCAATGGTGCATCTTGGCTGGATGTCGATAGAAACCCGACAGTGTGAAGCATTCCCAGTGGTCAAGACACTGCTTTGCCTTACGTTTGGCTTCATGTCGATTGCCGAAGAACCAACCATTCGAGTCGATCCGATTTCATACAGCTGTGCATGACGGCTAGAACTGCTCAAAACTAATTTGAAACGGTGAAGGCATTCTTTTTCACCTCACGAGGCTCTTGCTTCTTTTAGCATATTTTTCCCGTGTTAACTTTCTGGTGGGTTTCACTTTTCTTAAGGAAGACTGCGTCTTTGCCGAAGAGTGAGTAGTGCAAAACGCCAGCCAACAAAAGGCTTCATAGGATTTCAATCACAATACATTGAATTAGCATTCTGGTGAAGATGCTGGCGCCGATTAAAAGTCGATTAATTGGTTAATTTCATTTTCAAGTTTTCATTGATTCAATTCCATTTGGCGCTTAAATCAAATCGACTTAAGAAACTCCTATTCTGCATTTTTATACAGGGACAGTAACTTGAATGCCAGGTTTCCTTGGATGTTCATGTTTGTTGAACTCTTGTTCAGTTTTTTTTTTTTTTACAAGAAAACCAAGAATCTAAAAGATGAACATGTCTATCAAAGTCTTCACTCCATATTCTATGGAATGTGCTTTAGGGGAAAGTGAATTGTAGGTCAGTTATGCTCTTTGATGTATGAGGTTGGCCAAATGTGGAAGGTCTTCCCATTTAGATGGAGTTGTTGCAGAACTTCTATGAAACAACATTGGAGGCGTTGAAGGATGCCAAAAATGACCGACTCTGGTTCAAGACCAACACAAAACTTGGGAAGCTCTACTTCGACAGGGAGGAATTTGGGAAGCTTGCAAAAATTCTCAAGCAGCTTCATCAGTCCTGCTTGGTTAGTTTCCAAGATGGTTTCCACCTTGGTCAGGTTCCAAGGCCTTCCCCCATTCCTGTTGTTCCTTGAGGGGTAGAACATCACACTAGTCCATTTGAAGGACTGCATTTTAGGAATACATTGTGCATCTAAATATTTTAATATGGCCCTTTTTCAAGTAGGTTTCAATGTAGGAAAAAAAAGTTTGAGTACTTGTACTCAAACTTTTTTTTCCTACATGGACTGAGTGCACCTACAGTTAGGATGCTACAAGTAACTTCTCACCCCCTACACAGTTTCACTGTATCCCCTTTCCATGGGCCTCTGGAGGTGATGGGAACTTCAGTGCTGTTTAGCTGTAGGCCTATTCTTCATGATACATGTGGCTGATGCTTAAGCTAGCAGATCTGCTTTTGAATCGTCATTTTTCAAGATAATATCGCCCTAAAAAGCTGAAAATATAAAAAAGCATGGTTAATTATCTTAATTAGTTATCAATGTCCCTAACATGTTGTCCCTAGCAATCACTTTGGTCGCAATTTTCTCATTACATCAATTTTCAGCTGGCAGGTGCTGCTCTGAATAGCATACCTTTTTGTGTAATACACCTACATCTTTCATTTTTGGCTGAGAGCTACCTTGAATGTTCCTCCAAGGAATGATGGTAGCCTTTTTTGTTTATCCAATCCTTTAGCATGTTTTAGTAACTTTGAATATGTATAATACTTAGGTCACTAAAATCACTAAAAATCTTTTTAAAATAATCTTTTTTAACAATCACCTATTTTGCCTATTTTTTGCCCAATCCTCTTTCTTATAGTCAGTTTGTTTTCTGGGAAGGAATAGAGAGGAAAAAGTTGCCTTAAAGTATGTCTGCTACCTTAAACCCAAAGAACAAGTAGTGCCCATAGCAGTCAAGTTGTTCAGGTCACTTTCAGATCAAAAGAAAACCACTTTCAGTCAATTTCAAACCTAAGCTTCCTCTGTGCTACCCCAAGTACATGAGTCATGGTGATGTGATGTTATACCATATCTTACAAAGACCAATACCTAGCTTAAGTCACAATGAAAATTTTCATTTGTAATGTTTTCTTGTCATGAACAGCTTGTAGTTGTTCCTTACCTGTTCAACATTCCAACATCAATCCAGCTGGATATTTTCAGCATTCAGTGGGTGCTCACACACTTGCAAAAATGGATCATGCTTACCCATGAGTCACTTAATGAATATCACAAAAGTTGGATTCCAGAAAAAATCATCTCTATGAACCAAGTAGTGCAGATTTCAAGTCAATTTTCAGCAGAAACCAATAAACTTACTAAAGCCTTATCAAATAATCACCCAATTCCTGACACTGGTAGATGAAGTGTTAGTAGATATATTGAACAATAACCAATAAAACCAGCAGAATGGGTTGCTACAGTGCAATTCCAATCATTGGCTCTTCGTTATAACTTGCTTATGTTCATTCTTGAGTTTGAATATGAATAGAGTAGTTTAATAATGTGTGCATTTACATTTACTGTGATTTACTCAGTCTCATCCTATGAGGTTTACAAATATTGGCCACTTATTAGTATGCCAAGAAATGAGTTAATATAGTAAGCATATGAGCTGCTTAAGTAATAATAATATAAATAATAATAAAAATGAGGAAGGAAGTTTACCTCTGTGGACCTGGTTTTGAGCAGACAGATGATGGAGAAGATGATCTGAAGAAAGGAACACAGCTGCTGGAAATCTATGCCTTGGAGATCCAGATGTGCACAGCACAGAAGAACAACAAGCGTCTCAAAAGCCTTTATGAACAAAGCCTTCACATCAAGTCTGCCATCCCACATCCCCTCATTATGGGGGTCATTCGAGGTCTTTAAAATCTGATTCTGATTCTTTCTCTATTCTATGGATTTGGAATCCCAAAGTTATGAAGTTTTCTTCACTTACCTTTATCACCAGTAAAATTATATCAAATTAAGTTTTGGGTAGTATGTTTTTACTAATGTAATAGCCATGTGATTAGGTTTTATTCAATTGAATTACATTACATTTGATTTGATGGTGATTGATATCACTTGGCCTCTTAAATGCCTGGTTTACTTCATGTCAGGTATATTTGCAAGTATGAACTTAAAAAAAAGAAGAGAACTGTAACATTGTTACTCAGGATTTTAACCTCTTCTGCCAGCATCACTTCTTCTTTTTTTATTGCTGTAGGCCCATGTGGTTCTTGATTATTGATCATGAACTTGTTTTAGTTTTAATTTACAAGTGAACTACTTGTTGATGTCACATTTACTGTCAAGTTGAACTTAAGTTTATAGTTCCTTTTTTTCTCTCCCAATTTTGAGTACTGTTACCACTGCTATTATTTAATTGAAGAAAATGTAATTGCTTCAAGGTCATACTCCATGTAACTGAAGCAGATTACTTCTTTAGGCACTGCTGCCTTCATGCTTGTGTGGATCATAGAATAAGGTACTTTCAAAAGCAGAAAGGCAAATTATTTTTCTGATTACTTTCAGAGTGTGGTGGAAAGATGCATCTGAGAGAAGGGGAGTTTGAGAAGGCACATACAGACTTCTTTGAAGCCTTTAAGAATTATGATGAGTCAGGTAGTCCTCGGCGTACTACTTGTCTTAAATACCTCGTCCTGGCTAACATGTGAGTTATGTTCCATTTGTGTGTGCCTTTCCTTGAATTCTGCCAATCAAGATTTTGAATAAATTCGTATGAAATCATCTGGTAAACTATCTTGCCAGGATTGGCTAATGAAGTTTTGGCAAATGAAGTCTGTCTCAAAAAATTGTGGACCCTTTTTCAATTTGTAGCCTCTCGTTATTGGTTCAGACTATCACTATGTGCTTTTGAGGGCTGACTAAGACATCAATTGAGCACATGCTCGCAAAGTTGTATCAAAATCCATGGATTCATTTCGGAAATATAGCAGCTTATTCTAAACCAGGTTGTGTCAGACCATTTCCGTCGACCACACTCAGTGCTGGCACAGCCAGTCAGAGTGGAAACACACCGTTCCCACATCACAGGCGAATGCAAACTTTGCAGCATTTGGGTTTTGTTCAATGTCACGTGACTGTTCTTTGACTGACACATTTGACGATTGACACTGCATATTGAGCACATAGTCAAATACAGAAAATTATAGAAGTTATCTTGGTTGTGCACATCATCAGTCATCCTGTATGAGGCACAATAATGAATTTGGAATAATGCAGTCACACAGTTCTGGCCACACTCCCTCACTGCTGGTATGCTCTGAATAATCTCCTGTATTTCAGGAACTAGCAAATTAATATCATTATAACTTTGCATGCATGTGCTCATTTGATGTCTTAGTCAGTCCTCAAAAGTGCACAGTGATAGTCTGAACCAATTATGAATGGCTAAAAATTGAAAAAGGGTCCAAATTTTTTTTGGACAGTGTATTATGCAATACCCTCTTCCCAGCTATCCCTTCATCCTGTTGGGCTGCTGCATGATCTCTCATTCACTCATTATCCCCCTTTGGACTAGCTTAATTCTGTAGATTATGCTCTGGAAGCAGACACAAAAGCTTCTTTTAAACAAAGATGAATACCATTATTATCTGCATATATTTTCAAATGCTCATATTTCCATTGGTAGCAGTTGATTGCTACATTCTCAGATCTTGAAATTGGTCAATGCTGGGATTTATTAGTGTTTACAGCAGGCACATCCCATTCCCATTTTGAAAAGAGCAAATCAAATGTGATTGTGCTCTAAGAAATTAATGATTTTGAGCTTAAGTGGTCAAAATGGCTGACCATAGCAAGAGCTATTTCTTTCCATCCGAAAGCTAATCACAATTATCCTCCTTCTTCCAGGCTGATGAAATCAGGCATCAATCCATTTGATTCTCAGGAGGCAAAGCCATATAAGAATGATCCTGAGATCCTTGCCATGACAAACCTTGTCTCTGCTTATCAAAACAATGACATAGCTGACTTTGAGAAGATATTAAAGAACAACAGAAGAACCATCATGGATGATCCTTTCATCAGGGAACATATAGAAGGTGAGTCCAAATATACTTTTTTGCATCAACTTCTTTATGTTGAACATCTTTGTCTCCTCGGGTTTTTGTTGAGCCTATCCCGAGGACATCCAGAGATCAAAGGTCTTTACTGCTTTCTGTTTTATTTTCCTCTGAAGGACATCATTAGTGCCACACACTCTGTTGTATTTTAACATCTGTTCAGTGGTTCACAGAATGTGGAAATGAAGTTCAGTCTATTTAGAGAGCAACTCTTCAGCTCAGCTCAGCTTTTGCTTTCTGCGAAGTCCTAAGTAGATAAAGATAATTAAAGTCCTGGTTCCTTTGTCTAACTGGGCAAAGATTTAAGATCTGGAGAATTTGGTTTACTCTACTTGGTGAATATATTGATAGAGCTGTGGGCAGAGAGAAGGCGTATATATGGGAAGTTTTGGGCATTTCATTGCTGATGGAGATGTGAGCCTTATAATTTTAAAACCAGCCAAAAGACTTCCTGAAATAGGTGTCTCATTCATATCAGTTTGCTTTCCAAGTTGAATTATTCCATACAATAGTAAGACTTATGAGAAAGATTCAAGGTATAGTAATTGGGTAGACTAGGTGTGCAAACTTGTGGCAAAGAAGAACTGTGAGTTAAATGAGACTTATGGTTTCTGTCTGGTTTCAATTTGATACAGATCTGCTGCGTAATGTGAGGACACAGGTGTTGATGAAGCTAATCAAGCCATACACACGCATCCACATCCTGTTCATCTCGCAGCAGTTGAACATCGACGCAGGAGATGTGGAGAGCCTCCTTGTGTCATGCATCCTAGACAATTCCATCTCTGGTCGTATTGATCAGGTGAACCAGGTCTTGCAGCTGGACTCACAAAAGCAGAGCAATGCCCGATACTCTGCTCTGGACAAGTGGAGTGGTCAGATAGCTTCCCTTAATCAGGCCATCACTGATAAGATGGCTTGAAAACCTTACACTTGTTATCTGGGAATGTGTGATGTGATACATCTCTTGCTTCCATTGCCAATTTCCTCTGTATTTGTCCAGGGGAAAAATTGAGCAGTGACCTGACTTCAACAGCAAAGAAGAGAAATTGCTGCAGTGTTTTAGAGAATGCAGTTTACATGGAGTTGTTTATGCAATCTGGCTATACTGCATCTTTCTGACTGCTAGAATTGCAGTGTGCAAAACAATCTAGAGGCATCAGCAGCAACTTACTGTATGCATTCAAAAATTAAAGTTTTTTTTTAGAACAATTATGGTTGTTTTTTTTGCTCCAATGCATGTGCCCTTTCAGTGTGTTTTCTTTTGTCATATAAAAGTCAACAGGGCATCATTGAGAGGCAATACATTGCAGAAGTGATCAAACACAAGTTCATGTGACAGCTGGGCAACAGTATACACTTGGTATGCACACAACAACCCATTTTGGAGTACAACTGCAAGTTTTACAGATTCCTGATGAGGTTCATGATCAATGGATATAAAATAAAAAATACAGTAATTTGAAAATATTCATGCTATTTTTCATGCATACGCTTGTTTAACTGGTCAACTTGAGTGTTGTGCAAAAATACCGATTTTTTACATATTGATATCGATCATGTTTACATGTATTAATTCATTCCCCTTCTCTATAACACCTTTCTTCACCACACCTTTGGGTACATCCATTCATATAATCAAGTACAGATCTATACTCACTTTAATCTCAAACATTTTCTTGCCCAGAATGTTCTCTTAAATATCGGCTGTGTAGGAAATCCAGTTTTCAATAAGTGTCTACACTTCTTGAAAGCTGAATTTCCCTACTCAATGAATACATATAGAAAAATATAAATATCCAAATGTCCAGGGATGGGGAAGTACCCCACCCTCGTCTATGAACACGAACTTTGGGCTGCGATCCAAAGGATCGGGTCGCGGATACAACCCGCAGAAATGAGGCTCTTAAGACGGGAAAACTGAAATCCGTAAAAACCTCCTGGTGGAGAAGCTACACAATCGGATCGAGGGATACCAGGCCCGTTGGTTTGGACACATCTCCCTCGTACCTCCTGAGATGCTCCCAAAAATAATTCCTTCGATTTAAAATGACTGTCAAAAGATCCGCCCGTGGGCCTCTTGCAAGGTTTACGGATTCCATCGTAATGAAATCGTCACAAGAGGTTCGATACAGTAGCATGCTCAAGGGGGAGGGGGGGTTACGGGAGTCGTAATCCTTTCCTTGGGATACATTTTAAAAGATCGATTCTCAAATATGTTTCTAATTTGGCCATAAATGCAGCATGGGTTATAAATTTTTCATGTCAACCCCCCCCCCCCATGGGGATTTACTGGGTGCAATACTGGTTCAGTATGTCACTTGCCGAGCTTGAGTCCGCTGCCCAAGGTCGTTAACACTGGAAGATGCATCTCCGTGAGGTTGTGATAAGCTGTTTCGAAAATGTTTGTAAGTATGCAATCCAAAAGTCCAGAATTCTGGACGCCATGACTAAAGGGGACAACAGGTAAGATAGACAGGTCCTCCATACAGTGAAACTTCTTTTTTTTATCATAGTACTCAAATGAAGACAACGCGGTGCAGTCGAATTGAAGAAAGACATTTTGTCATGAACAATGAGATTTGTGATTGAATGTCTATACTTGAAACATTTCAGTGTTAAGGTCACGTGGTCTTCTGTCTCATGGATTATCCTCCCTCGAAACCAAACTCAGCTTTTCCAAGATGATCTGCCTGATAGCAGGGACGAAGTTGCAGGATTAGAAAGAACGACAGCCTTTCTTTGTCTTGACATAATGATCATCAGTTCGTGAATGTCTACGAAATATCTTCAGAGCAATGAAATGGAACGCAGAAGCGAAAAGTGAATCCGATGAACAGACATTTTAGGCTACCACAAATTTTTAATGAGTTAATTGGCCTTTTCGAAACACATTCACTGTCATAATTTTCAGTCCGAGCGTGAAGGAGAAGACTGAGCATGTTGTCATTGAAATAAACCTCGAATCTTGCGAATTCTCAACTCCAGGGGTTCGGTGGAAGAAAGGGTTGAAAATCGAAGACGCCCATGTTGACAGCATGGTCGAATGCATCCTTGTCATTTTCTGTGGCCGTGGGCATCTTAAGTGTGAATGATAGTGTGAATGATTCTAATTGGAGCTAAAGAAAATTGCAGAACGATAGTTTATGCAAATAGAGCGCATTCTCATGGTTGATGGTCCCCTGATAAATTGACCAAGATGGAGTCTTACAACTCCCTCGTTGGAAGCGATACAAACCACGACAAGAGTTCAAGAGTGCGCGTAGCATACGCCTAAACGTTAGCTGTTATATAGCTGTAATCCTGGCGTCAATTCCCACACTGGAATGGGAGAGATCTGGTGAAGAAAAGGAATAACGAATAGGAGACCCATATGGCGTTTTGGAGACAAGGGTGGGTTATAGACCTGCGATGAAACCGAATTTGCACCTTAGAACCCCTAATGTGTTTCATCCTTTGAGCAACGTCAGGAGAAACCGTAAAACTGCACTTCGAGTCGAATGGGACAGCCAATGTCTGAAATGAGTAATAGCTACCAAATAGCAAATTTTGACACTAACTTCTAAAACTAGACGCAAAGATGGGTTTTAGCTAATACATAAGTAAGCCTATATAATCCTGACGTTAGTTGATTTATCTATCAATCTCTATACAAAAGGATGTAATTACCCCAGTTTCTATATTTAATTTTTATGCCTTGTGCTTTTACTCTGTACTGACTTTTATTTACACAGGATGTAAAATGTATGCTTGGTCTGGCTGAACTAAGGTGATTTTAATTAGTTTGCTAAGTTCGTCATAAGTAGTTCTCATTTATCTTATTTTGCTTGGAACTCATTGTTTCTGAAGTTGATCAAGGCTAGGCCTAGGTAGCCTAGGTAGGAATTTAGATTAATGGAGAGTGCAGCTTAGCAAATGTCATTAGCAATGAGGATTCATTAAATACTTTATTGGGAAAAAATTGGTATTATTAGGAAAGAAGTCTTACCCTTTCCTTTCCAGTATGGGAGAATCGGTATAGGTGAGAACAAAAAGTAATAATATTGCCCTCTCCTTGAGGTTATATATGTAAGTTCTGGCACTTGCTAACCAATAAACAAAAACCAAAGCAACTCATGAAATTCCCAGCCACATCAATTACAAAGAAGCTGAGACTGGAAAATTGCAGAAATTCCCTAAATGTCCCATGTGACCCAACTCTACTCTCCAAGAAATATAATTCCTCTCTACCTAGGCCTATTTTCATGCAAGTGGACAAAAACACTTATGGCTCTATTGTTACCTTTTTCATTTTTAGGTGCATTGGCTATGCCAATGTGGTGAGAAGCACATACTGATCTTCATTACCCTTTGTGTGAAGGGAGGAAATGGGATCAGTTATGAAAGATGAGTGAGGACTTTTGATATTAGAAAGGTATCCTCTACCTTTCCAGACTGTCTGATCTAGCCTGTTGGCTTAAGCTGATATCCCTTTTCTGCTGAAATAGCAGGGATCAAACCTAATCTTTTAGCAAAAGTGTTACCAATACCAATCCAGGTCAACATGATTCTCCTCCTCATCCTTCCATTTTCGTTGTTGTCACTCACATCTGCATCCAATATCCCTTCAGGTTTGTCAATGATCTGACTTTTTCTTCACCTTATTTTAGGGTTGTTGTCCAGATTAGTCACAAGCTATGCAGAAGCCATGCATGAACCCTTTTTCAAAATGTTCTATTAAAGAGAGAATGGATCTTTGAACTGAGAGAAGTTGATTTTAAAAGTAATATTTAAAAAAATATTTTGAATCATCATAGCTTGGATTTGTGATTCATGTGATATGTAGGTATGGTATTATAGTGCATGGGCATTATGGTCATAAAGATTTTGCATCTCCCTTTCAGATCATGTGAAAGAGCTGAGATGTGGGAAAATGTTCTACAGGACATTCTACATGGACCCCATCCATGATGTTCTTTACGTCGGAGCAATGTTTGTCCAAACCATTTTCCTGCTGACTTGGGATCTTTTAAAAGCAGTTTTTGTAGTCATCTTGTTCTCTTTGCAGGGATCACATTTTCCGACTTCCCCTGAAGAACATCAGCCTAGCCATGTGTGAGGGAGAGGTAAGTGCCTTGGAGAAGTTGACTAAAGAACTCCTTTTTTTTATGAATCCATGATCTTGAAATTGTATTCAAAATTATCTTGAAAAACAGGGGGATGTTCTGGTCTTGGAGCCGTCCAATGTTCCCAACTGCATTTCCAAAGGGAAATCAGAAGTAAGTGTAGTTTTGGTAATTCCCAGTAAATAGGGAAGTGATGACTAATTTCTGCTTGCTCTCTGATTGCAGGAGTATGAATGCCACAATCATGTGAGGGTGATTCAACCCATGGGCAATGGTGATCGTCTATACATATGTGGAACAAATGCTCATCAGCCAAAGGATCTCGTCATATATGTGAGACCTACTCTCATGACTTCCATTCTTTTCGTTTTTTGTCCCATAGTTTCATTCCAGGTTAAGCTTATGCTTTCTATCCATGCTACATGAGAAGAGATTACTTGAGTCTTACCTAGTCTGGAAATACTGCTTTCCAATGCACCATATGCAAATATCCTACTTGAGGAGCTGCCAGCTGGATAAACCCTGTGATGTTCTTTATTTTGAAATCCCTCCTGTTATGTATATGAAGAAAATCAAGATATCAGGCATAGAACAGTCTTTGAAACTGTCCATGTATGGAACTGAGCAGTCAGCATGGGAAAGTGCTATCGTTTGCCAAGCATCTATTGCAGAGAATTTATTGTGTGGACCCCCTCACCCTCAATGGGAGGCATTTGGATATCTTTGAAGCATGTCAAGAATAACTGAGTAGTTCTCTGGAAAAGGGGCATATGTCCATATGCCCTTCTTCCATATCTATGTCCATGTGCTGCTTTAGGTGACTAGTCATAGGATAGGGTGGTCAGCTAGTAGTTAAGATGTGTATTCAGCAAAGAAGAAGCAGATTTTCCTATGCTCTCACTATAAGTAGGCCTTATAGTAGGCCAACTGCCTGACTATTTCAATATGGCTGCCTCCATGAATATTCCATTAGCACTTGCATGCTGAACGATTTTTGTGGAATTATTTCGTCCTCTTAAACTGAAAGTGAAAATGAGGAAGAGACCAGACATGAAGAAAGGGAAAGAAAGAGGTCCAGTCATTCAAGCCTCTGGAAGGATGTGAGAAGTTGGAGGTATCCATGAAATAGTTGGAAGATTCAGATAATGAATACATTAATAATGGATCACTGCTGAGTAATTGATGAATGAAATGTGTCCTGACTATTCACATTTTCATTCCTATTTTTAAAGCAAGAGTTTATTTGAAATCTGTAGATTCATTTATCAATTAATTATTATTTTCAATTAGATAGAAGTGATGAAAGACTCGCTGGAAAAAGTTTCAGCATTGCAGATATGGAAAAAGGGCATATGTGCATGAACGCTTTCTGCCTGCATCCCAGCAATGTGAGATAAAGAAATTCATTCAAACCCCAAGTTCAATAGGGAAAAGGTCTCAGATACCATTTTACTGATAATTAAGTTTTGACAAGCTTCAGATTAGCTATTGGAAGTTTTTATCATTTATCTCGAATTGCATCTTTTGTACATATGCGCTTTTTCTAGAGAACTCTTCGATTTTAGGTCTAAGGTTTGACCATGGGAGGTATAAATTACAGTTCCAACTGTAGGCAGTCAGTTATGCTATCATAGATGTAAAAGATTTGAAATTTGAATTGCAATGAGAGAATATAAAATATCAATAAACATACTTTCAAAATAGTAATTATTCAGTATTTTCCATAAATCATAGGATAATCATTGTGATTGCAAGAGCTCATTATGCATATCATTCAGAAATAGCAATATCAATAAGATACTCTAGCAATCAGCTACTAGATATGATATCATAACTCAGGAAAAAAAAATTTAAGACATTCCCAAAGATCATTCTGATTTAGGAAAGTTTTTGCTAAAATCAGAAATCATTCCATTTTCTTTTCATTTTCCTGTTGATATGTCATGTAGGTCTGGGTAAGGAGCATTCCAACCTAGACAACCAAAAGCAAATATTCATATTATTTTGAGACCCAAAAATGGATTGTCTTTATTTCCTAATTTGTCTTCCTATTGCTTCTTTTCCTATTATATCATTTACTTGTGTTGTTCCTATTTCCATTTTTCTATAGCTTATTACTCCTTTGTTTCCCCTTCTGGGTAAATATACCTAAAGTTTAAACATTCTTAGCATGTTTTTATTTTCTTTCACTTCCTAGAGCAATCTGACACATCTTGCAAGACAAGAATATGTTCCTGGTGTGGGGGATGGGATAGCCAAGTGTCCCTTTGACCCAAATGACAACAGTACTGCTGTGTGGGTAGAAGAAGGGAATCCTGGTGGACTACCAGGCCTCTACTCGGGCACTGTTGCAGAATTCACTAAGGCTGACACAGTGATCTTCCGCATGGACCTCTATGATCACCGTACCCGCAACCGCAAATACATGTTCCAACGAACCATCAAATATGATTCCAAATGGCTCGACAGTCAGTACCATCTTTAGCCTCCTTTAGTTATCAATCCCATCTGGCCATGAAGCAGAGTCAATATCAGCATGAGATTTTGTTTTAATATTTTGTCATCTAGTCTTGGTCAGCTGTAAATTATCCAGGATAGTGAATTCCTTGAATTGGAAGTAGCTGTAATTAAAATATATTGGCTCTCATGAAAAATTTGGATACTTATTGCTTACTCGAGTTGGTGTTATAGCTAACACCCTTAAGTGGTGTTAGCTATACTTTTTTCCCTCTTTTTTTTTTTTCCTAATTTTTGGTAACCTTGACTATATGTAGAAGATCCTTGAACATTCTAGAAGTTAAAAACTATTTGAGGTGCCTGCCATGCCATTGATACTGATGATGATGATTTCTTCTAATTGCCTGATCCGTGAGAAGACACTGACATTTTTTTATTTTTTTTTCCCAAAGAGCCTAATTTTGTTGGGTCCTATGACATGGGAGACTACGTGTATTTCTTCTTCCGGGAAACTGCGGTAGAATACATGAACTGTGGGAAGGCAGTATATTCCCGTGTGGCCCGTGTGTGCAAGAGTGATACTGGTGGAAAGAACACTCTGAGGAAGAACTGGGTCACATTCCTAAAAGCTCGCCTCAACTGCTCCATACCTGGGGAGTTCCCCTTCTACTTCAATGAGATTCGTGAGTCATTTGTCCCCATTCATCATCTTCTTACTGTTTATGGAATTCATTCATGCATTCAATCATGCAGGATTACTTTGAAGCTAGAAAACTAGGATAATCCAGGGTAAATTGTTCTAACTTCATGGAAATCGCAGGAATGGGAAAGTATTGCATCAGAATAGTTATGAAGATAGATAGTCGCTATGAAGGAAGTAGAAATAATGCTGAAAAAGATAAAAATTTTGTGAAGGAATGCATTCCTCTAGCTTGCTGAAAACTCTTGAAAGTCAAGAAATGATTTCTCAGTTTGTAGGTTAACCTTGTCATGTCAAATTTTGCCACAGGTAATACATAGTTTGTTGTTCAAACTATTCATTGGTTCTGTGTTATACTTTTGTATGACATAGTACCAATGGATAAAGTAGCATTTTTTAAGCCTTTAAATGAAATTGCCATGCATGTATTTTAATCAGTCATGATTTTGCAGTTTTGCATTTTAATTCTTGTTGGCAGAGGGAATATACAAGGTTCCAGGTGACAACAGTCGTTTCTATGCTGCATTCACAACATCCATGAATGGATTGGCGGGTTCAGCCATTTGCACATTCACACTGCGAGCAATGGAGGAAGCTTTCCAGGGGAAGTTCAAGGAACAGGCAACATCCAGCTCAGCCTGGCTTCCAGTGCTCAGCACAGAAGTCCCTGAACCCAGACCAGGAACCTGCATTGAAGATACTCAGAAGCTCCCTGGTATGTTCCAATAGCCTTATAGCAGATGGAGGGAATGAAATTTAGTCATGTCCTGAGCATACTAATTGGTCAGAAGTAAAAAGTTGTTTCTCCTCTCTTTTAGTTTATTTTTAACCCATTATTTGTAATTATATTTTTGTGAAGGTTTTCTTCTGAAAAAAGGCATTGTTTTCCAATATATCAATGAGCAGATGCATATATTTATTCAAAATTCAAATTGGTAGAAGGGTTATAATGGGCTACTTACCATATTTTTGGTTGTTAGGTGCAAGTTTTACATGAAAATCTTTTCCTCTTGCATGGAGTGATTTTTTATTGTTCTTGGTTACAGACTCTGTGCTGAACTTTGTTCGCACCCATCCATTGATGGATGAAGCAGTGAATCATGAGGATGGGAAGCCAGTTTTCTACAAGCGAGACACAGTGTTCACACACATTGTGGTGGACAAGGTTCGCCATGGTTACCCTGGTGATCAGGAATACACAGTCTACTTTGCTGCAACAAGTGAGTGCATCAAGAAGATGCAAATGAGTCAGATCTTGTTTAAGAATGATTTTATTGAGGGATTCTATTTTCCTTTACTTTTCTCCTTTCTTGAAGACAAGGGAGAAGTGTACAAGATTGTGCAATGGTACAATGGGAAGGAGAGCCAGACTGAGCTCCTTGATGTCTTCCATGTTACTGATCCTGAACCCATTCGTGTCATGGAGATCTCCAGCAAGGTAATTTTTTTAATTCCCCCTTGCTTTTTCTCTTGTTCTTGATTAGGTCTCCATGAGTTGAGTTCTGTTACCCTTTACCCTTTCAGACCCAACATCCATTCCAATGGACATTACTTTTTCATTGTGCCTATGTTAATTTCTTGGGATTCTCATGACTTGGGGCCCCATATTGCTCTACAATGGGCACAATTATGCATGGCTTGATTCAATTGGAGGCCTTCTCTCACCCATAATTTTGTCATCTTCAGTTATGTAACTCAATGTTTAATATATCATTTATGATATGGTATGGTAAATTTATGCAAAATAAAAATTATATATAGAATATAAAAAGTTGAAGTGGAATAGCAAAAGAGCTCAAAATGCAAAAAAAGTATTTTATTCCAGTAATTCAGGTGTGAAAGGGTTAATACCCATCAGTAAGAAGGGTGTCTATGGTTATTGGAGGAGGGGTTTTACAGGTGTAGGCCTAATATCTGGAGAAGAGTGTTGGCTGACCTGGCATGCTTGAAAGCTTTGCAAGCTGCCCTGTTTTAGATTTAACCTATTTTCTATTCTAATTGATGGGAAGTTAAAATGAAATGGGATCAAATTTCAAGCATATTAGATTATATAGGCATATGTTATTAGGCATGGCCAAAAACTGTTTGAAAAATCACAGTAGCAATTGTTGATATTAAGAGAGAACAATATCCCTGCTATCTGTGGTCAGAGGCTATATTTCTTGTCTCAATTTGTTTCCTTTGTTGCCTAATATTCATCTATGAATGTATTGTGACAGTGGAATATATTTATGTTTTATGTTAAACAGCACAAGTCCCTGTATGTTGCCTCTGACTCAATGGTGAAGCAAGTGGACCTGGTGATGTGCACTCAGAGGTATGACAACTGTCTACGATGCATCAAGGATCCTTACTGTGGGTGGGAGAGGGAAGCTGGAATCTGTCGTCCCTACTACCATGGGTCTGTGTTCTCTCAATTCCTCTCACATCGCCTTGCTCTCCTCATTTCCAAATGGGGGAATGAAATGATGCCATATTTGCATATCTCTAGGGCAGGAAAAAACCTACTTTCTTTAGCCAAGAAATCTATTTCTGTGCCAGAATTAATTCAAGTCTTGGCTATAGGCAAAGAGAATTGCTTCAATGTGATGCTGCCATATGCAAACAACATGTGAATGTCTCACTGTAGAAGAAAAGTAACCACAATCATGGTTGGTTCAACGTATAGTGATGGCAAAGGATGTGCAGGAAAGTATCCATGAAATTTTCCTGCACATTCAAAAATGTCCATGAAATGAAGTTCGTGAACTACCATATCTGGCCAATGTGTGAAATGTTTGTAAAGTTTACATTTTAAAAAATTCACAGTCACTGGGATATTGGCTGGTGCCTGATGATACTGAGGCCATCATTGCACACCTTGGAGGAAAAATTAAGCATCATTTAACTGATGATAACATTTCACCTCTAAGAAACCAAGTTTTCTTACCTTTTGGTACAGGTTGTTGCAAGATGTGTCACAAAGCAATCCAGGGATGTGTGACAACAACATTTCCAAGAAGCGGCTGACAGCCCACTGGGGTCAGAGCGTCCACCTAGCCTGTGACATCAACCTTCCAGATCCACTTCATTCAGCCCAGACCTCTTTGACCTGGTACCACCACAGCCGGGAGAAAGGACGATACCCCATTGAACTCAGGTCATTGCCTGTTTCTCTCCTCCCTAATCTTCACATTCCAGGCTGAGAGAATAATAACTACTTTGACTTCACACACTATTTGTCATACATCCACTTTTTCTATTTTTGACTTCATCCTTGCTCTCTCCCAGATGTGAAATATAGTAATGCTGATCATTTGCTCATAGGTATTCACATGTATGTTTCCTATTCCATTTATTCTTTCATTTTTCATTCAATCCTTGGTAATAATCTCTAGTTATAGTATATCTGATGCTTTTCAAGCTGCTTTTTCCAAGAAGTGAGGATGAAAGTACATATTCATGAATCTGCATCTGGCCTCTAAGGCTTCTTCTGCACAGAAGCTTTTTTTGTGACCTTTCTTTGATTGACAAGCAAAAAAAACTGAACGCCCCTTTTTAAGTTTTGCCTGCAAGATTTTCATTGAAAGAATATCTTGGAAGGTCCACTTTTGAAAATTTTTATTTCACAATATTCTCTCATTGACTATGCCATTAAATTTTCTGATTAAGACAATCCCTAAGAAAGGTAGTGTTCATGAACATACATGTTGCTTTACTTGTGCCCAATCTAAAATAATAGAAAGTAATAGATTTTTCTTTTGTACAATATGATACACTAAACTGAATTAGATTTCAGCACAGTAGTATGATGGGGAAAGGACTTCCTGTTTGGCATTTTTATTATTAAAATTATTATTTGACTTTCATAGTGTATCTCTAGAATATCAGATGTTTGTGAATTATTTACCTTCATTACAGTTGACTTGAATATCTTTTCTTCATTTCCCAAACTTTTACCAACAGGCCAGGAAAGTACATCCAGACGTCAGATCAAGGACTGGTGATAGTGGGAGTTACAGAAGCAGATGCCGGTCGCTATGACTGCCTTCTGGGAGACAGTCCTCTATGCAGCTACAATATCACAGTTGACTCCCACCGCTGTGCCCCACCTGGCAAGGCTCAAGACTACCAGAAGGTTTATTCTGATTGGTGCCACCAGTTTGAGAAGTACAAGCTTGCCATGGAGACATGGAAACGGAAGCAGGCTGTAAGTGTCCATTTATGTTCTTTTTTGTGTAAAAAGTACATAAATCCAAACTATGGTTTGAATAGGTACCATATTCTCTTGTTAAAAAAAAATAGATAGGGGTTCAGTAAGAAAGCTTCCAGAAGAGAACATAAACTCAGAGTTGTATCAGCAAAATGTACCCAGCACTGTAATAATCTGCCTTTAATTGCAGCTCTATCAGGTTTGTGGTACTCTTCCTTTCATAGCTGTTCATGTCATAGTCAGAACAGGATATGCTGGAATAGGGCTATAACGCCTGACACCTGAAATACCTTACTACTCTGAGAATGATACTTAGTTAGGTAAAGGGCATAAAGGCAAGAATATGTGAAAAACTATTGGAACTATTTTTTTCTGTTAAACTTGTGAGTCTAGGTAAGACCTTGAGTGAACCTTCTGCTTACTACTCATCCAAAATCCTTCCATCTTAAGCATGAAACCTTGAGTCTCACATCCAAGAAATAAATTGAGTGTCTTTATGCAGTCACTTGGATGTTTTTCTAAACTGTTGCAAAAATGATGTTGACGTTGACTGCCATGGCAATATTGGCCTTGTGATTTTCCTACTCAGTGAGGTGTGCCTCATGGTGGTCAACGTGTTAAATGGGTTTTTAACACATTGAGTTCCATGCTTATACGTTTGTTACTTACGATAAGCAACAAAACCCATCCATGTACTAATGCATTTCTTCTATTTAATATTTGCCAAAAAATTACCTTTGGGGTCTATTGACAGGATGTAACTACATAACTGTAAACTGCAATTTCCAGTGTGTCATTAAGGTAATGGCTTAATTGGCAAGGACTCAAAGTCTTTAAAGGAATTTTAAACCTTTACTGCTGGCCACAGTGCAGTAGTTCAAAATGGATAGAGCAGTGCAACAAAGGTAGGTCTATGTGGTTAAAGTCTGACAGGAAATAATGTCCCATTCCCCCTCCCTAAGGATGGACTACAAGAAATTATTGGATTGATCTGCAACTTGTTTCTCCTCCTGTTTTTCCCAGCAATGTGGAATGCAGAAGAATGGGAGCATGAACCAGTTGACTGGACACCCAAATGAAATTTTCCAACGAAGCCCCATTGCATGAAGGACTAGCTGTTCCTTCCATTTCCCTCTCGCTTCTGTGATGATGAGTGGGCAGCTACTTTAAGAAAACTCCATCGATCTCTGCCCTCCCTGTCTTCATCCTGTGTACAAAGTAGGCATGGACCAATGCTGGAATCTTGCCTCGGACTCTTCAGTGTGTCTCCCAGTGAGAAAGCCCAAGTTTTTGCGAGATCTGATCTCGGCATGGTGGAACTTCCCCTCGGCCGTGTTCACTAAGCTTCTCTCCACCAAAGTCCAGAATAGCCAAAGTCATGTCACAGACATTCCATTCAGAGAAAGCATGTCGAATCTAGGACCTGGTAGATCCTCTTTACCCATCTCAGTTTTAGGTGTAGATCAGCAGATATAAGATAAGAAATCTTTGTACCTGTAGATGTTGGCTATTGCTCATGCATCACATCCATGCTGTCTTCATCTTCAATGACCTAGGCCTCCTGTAATTTTTTATTATTTCAATGTACAATGAGGTGTTGAAGTTTTTGTCACTCATCTCTCTGATTTTGCATTTGTGCCATGTCTTTCTGTTTTTCTTTGTTTCCCTTTCAATGTTTTTTTGCAATAAAGTATTGAAGACATATGTGACTGGCAATTTGAATCAGGTCATGTCATTGTTAATAAATATTGCAAAGAGGCACAGACAGTAGCACAACCAGACCTGAGTTTTGGATGGTTCCTTATGCCTGACGTTCTCTTTCCCTTGTTGCCATTAGTTGCTGATATCGGAGAATAGCAGTCATTGGTTACTTTTAAAATGTTTACTGGGCACAAAAGTTATCCTGAGAAGACATCAGATTACAGTTTTCCAGTTTGATGCTTTGTTCTTTTCTTCAGGAGTGCTAAGCGTTACTTGATCCTGATTTTGTGAACTGTTATAAAAATATGCCACTAGTTCAAGACCTAGTGTAAAATATTATTCAGTCATGCAGATCGCCAGCATTATTATGGATTGAAATGGTGTGTAGCTCGTGTTGTCAGGGAGAAATACTGCAAAAAGCAGCGTGAATGTTCCCAAGAAAAAAGAAAAAATAAATTACCTCAAATTATTTTCACCTTGGTTGCTTGTTATTGAGAAGTCCTCGAAGACGGGATTGAGCATTATTGGACTGAACTACATACGGGCGGGTGCATCCAGCATGAGTAATGAGAGAAAACGGGATGCCCAATAGCAGCTGTTAGGTGTCACAAAGGATTGTTTTCTATTTCGTCTCGTATCCAGTGGGTCATACCTGTTATAAAAGGGAGGAACTGCGACACTGGATGCAGAGAAAGAAGAAAGATGGTCACTGACTTGCATGGGAAACTTCGTGAAGGGAATGTCCGACCAAAATTGCTTCGAGGCGCTATCATGCATTATAATATTCGAAGTCGGAAAAGGTTCTTGGAACTGAGTGTGTTTAATCTTTTCAGACCTGGCGTCCATTCCAATGGACATAGCATTTTCATTGTGTCTATGGTAATTTCTTGGGATTCTCATGACTTTGCGCCCCATATTACACTTCAATGGACGCAACTATGCATGGCTCAATTCCATCGGAGGACTTCTTTCACCCGTCAGTTTTGTAATCTTACATACATACATTTTCCAGGCCGCTTTTCCCAATTTAATGGGGTTCGAGCATCCCCAGGAGCGTCCTCCAGTGATCTCGATCCTGGACAACAGACTCAAGCTCAGCTGGTGGGATGCCAAGCCTCTCATGACAAAGCCGAGCGACAAGCCGCAGTGCATTCGGAGTCGAACCGATCGAGCACGCTCTGGAGCTCCTGTCGAGAGCGGGTAAAAAGAACGCCATCGTCGGCAAAGAGAAGTATCCTTACCGCGACGTCACCGATGTTGACCCCCTCCAGGCAGAGGCTGCGCCTACAGATCCTGTCCATGTACACGAGGAACAGGAAAGGTGAGAGGACACAACCCTGCCGGAGTCCAGCGCGTACCAGAAAACAATCCGAACTCCTCCCGCTCACTCGGACGCAGCTTCTGCACTCGCTGTATAGGGACTGAACGGCCCGTAATAGCTGACCCTTTATCCCATACTCCTGCAGCCCTCCCCACAGGTTTCCTCGGGGTACACGGTCGTAAGCTTTTTCAAGGTCCACAAAGCACATGTAGACATCTTTGGCATACTCCCAATGTGTCTCGAGGATCTAGCGGAGAGTGAACAGCTGATCCGTGGTTTGCGCCCTTCACGAAAGCTGCACTGCTCCTCTTGGATGGCATCACCCACGACTGCCCGAGCTCTCTTTTCCAGCACCTTGAAACAGACTTTACCAGGTATGATGAGGAGAGTGATCCCACGATAGTTCGTGTACTCCCTCAAGTCCCTCTTCTTAAAAAGAGGAACCACCACACCGGTTTGCCAATCCCTAGGCGCTGTTCTCGATTCCCAAGCAGCCTGACACACCCTGTAAAGCCATGAGCACCCATCTGTACCCATTGCTTTCAGAGTCTCTGCCCGGATTTCATCCACACCTCAATTTTGACTCTGGCAAAGCCTCATTTTATACCAGGAGCGGAGAAGAAAACGCGCTGCTGTTTGAACATTTATATAAAAAATCTGTAATTGATACAGTTATTTGTGTGTACGTTCAAACATCTTGCCCTCCGGAGGAAATCTTCAGTCGTGTTTGCCACCTTCAGTCAGGTGCTTAACTTTGACGGTAGATGTCTTCCACGTGCCCCGATCTCCATCCTCAGAGCTATTCTATCAAATTTATGTATTCTGCTTGTACTGATGAGAAAAAATGACTTTCGTACCGTGCATCACTAAAACTGCCACCGAGGAACCTGAAAAAATTGAGGTCCTAATTTTAATTTATTCCGTTGTATACTCATTAATGATGTCTGATTGGCCTGTTTGGTTACCACTATCCTGATCGAAAACCTGAACCCATGCTTCACATTAAGTAAGACTTATTGTTCTCGTCAGTGAAACTCTGAAAAAGAGCTAAAGCTTATCCTTTAGAGATGTCTCTTATAGTGGAATCTTTCTAGCAAAGGCTTTGCCTCCCTCTTTTTCATCACTCTATGATCAGCAAGAATTTAATGCTGGGCGGTCCAAGAAGACCAAGTAGAGACATGTTAGAAAATAAATGGTTGTCCTGTATGTCAGAAAATGACATCTTTTCAGAAAGAAAGGCACTCACATATTTCGTTATCTCTTAGATGTCCCTAAAAGTAATGCCTGGGATTTCTCGCTTGTCCCAAGGGGATATCTTTGAGATGTCATCGTACTCTGTGGGTACATTGTCACTTAACGCATTCCAATTAAATCCATCCCTCAATTAAAGACGCTCTGTCGCAACCTGCGCCTCGCCTGGGGTTCAAGCGACTCGAGTCGGTTCCGTCTCGTTCTGCTGCTGCCATGAAGTTGGTGCCTGTCGCGCTCTGCGTTATCGATTCTCTTGAATGCCTGAATGACGACGTTTTCCACGAGTCTCAGATGAAATGAGTTGCATGGCATTTTCAAAAAACTTTTGTCTCGTGGTTCATTTTGGCATGTGTAAGCGCGTGAGAGAATTTTATTCTATCGATTGAAGAAAAACTAACCAATAACAGGGGTCACGTTAACCTTCGATGATCTGCAGGAAAGGCCACACCTGGAGCTCCGTGACAGGACAACCTCTCGAACACCTTATGAAATTGTATTGTATTCAGAGGGTAGAATAGGAGTGCAAGTCGAAACTTCAGTTGTATATGTGAAACTTTTAACACCCCCCGCCCCCCCTCCTACTCCTTTGTTTCATGATATCTTGCTTCTTTTCGGGGGGTATCCAGACAGCCAGGACACCCCCCCCCCCTGGCTACATCCCTGGTTCAGGGCGTGGATTAAGGAGGGGAGCTAATCCTGATCCTCTCCACCCCCTGGAAAAAGGAGTGGAAGCGGATAGGAAGGAGTTAAATAAAAAACCTTACATAACCCCGGAGTAGTTGTTATTTGAGAACAAGTTCCAAGAAGCCTTCAGAGAGTGCAAGCATCTCATCCTGCAGCACAGCCGCAATCAACAGATTCCTTGCGCGGGATGGGCCCAGTGGCGTAGCAAGGGGGGGGGGCTGGGGGGCTTCAGCCCCCCTAAGTTTGGTTAGTTTTTCTTCAATTGATAAAAAAAACAAAACAAAACAAAACAAAACAAAAATACAAAAATATATAGCTTTAAGAGGGTTAGGCCTACCCTAAAATTAAGGAACGCTCGACCTCGACACGTGATATCGAAATGGGCGAAATCGCCTCTTGATATCACTAACTCTCCTGACATGAGTTCTTACTCAATCTCACTAAATGTCAGAAAAATGAATGCGACGTCTTTAATCAGATGTGAACAAAACGGGTGGCACTTATCCGCCATTGCCAATTCTGCGGGTCTTCTTTCCGGGTGGTTTTTTTCCGCCTTGTCATTTTGAGGAGTCTATTTCCAGGATTTTTTTTCCCTAAAACCGAAGGTACCAGAGGGTACCCAAGAAAAGGGAAAGACAGGGTTGTACCCCATGGCAACCATGGCTCCATTATGGCTTCTTGCTAGAGAATGTAGGTTGGATGCGTATGGCTTCCCGTTACTTATTTTAAGCTTTAAAAAGGCTGAAAACAGAGTCATTGTTGGCCTAGGCCAAGCTATTGATAGGAAAGTTGTTTTCTTTTTTTAGTTTGAGTGCTTCAGTTTCAGAAGGTAGGAATTCTTGAATGATAAATTCAGATTGGTTCATTCAAATTCAAGGTTAGCGTTAGTACGCAATAATGTGGAATCTCAAATTGTAGGCCTATTAAATATATTAACCAAGGAATCTGCATCTCATTATGCACTATCTGATATTTCATTACCATGGCTGGGAAAGTAGCATGGGCGTGTACGCGTGTAGAGGTGGGCGTATTGGGTGCTGACAGCATATCAATGCCTGTGTCGTTGTCTTGACTTAATTTCCTTAAATGAAAGATTACCTCATATGCAGTTTATTTTTCATTTGTGTGACACCCATCAGTATCACTTCCCATTGAAGGTTATCAATCAACTGAAAGATTTCAAATTTAACTGAAGTACTAAAGTAGATCTTAATTTGAGTGTTTTCCTCTGAAAATTCTATTCATCACAGAAATTACTTGCGAATGGCTATTACCATAAACCAAGACCTCCTGCCAAACATGTACATGTGAGTCCTAGAACTGACTCCAGAGTAAAAAGGAAGTTAATGTGGATTCAGTCCTGTGTTCCATAGTTGACTGAAACTCTTGAAAAGGCCTCTACCATTTCTACATCAATAAGGATATTTTTGCCTTGTCAAAAGCTCTTAAGACTAGCAACACCTTTTGCCATACCTAAAATATTGATGACTTTTAGCCAGTTCTTTCCTTATTGGTAATTGACAGAGTAACAGAAAGAGGTCTCTCAAAAATAGGATTATTTGAAAGGTACAAGTTCTTGGTGATGAGAGCCAAATTAACTCAACTTTAGGGTAACAGGGCCCTTGTGTTAACATACACTTTAGGGTCTTGTTCTGACTCAACAAGAGCATGTGAACTGATATATCAAATGCCTTCTAATCTCATTTGGCTAGCAGACATGAAATACCTTCAGGCAGGGGTGTCAATCTCAAATTGGTTGGCAGGCTGCATTCCTTACCATGCAGATGCCTGGAAGACCCATAGGATTGTGCATGTTAGGTGGTAAGAGTCAATCCAGACAGAAATTCCAAGAACAGACTGCAGGCTGGATGAACCACCTTTGCCACCATAGGTTTGACACCCCTGCCTTAGGGTATGCTCTTCTTCTTGGGGAAAGATGTACTTAAGCCTATGTGCTCTAGGATTTTTGATAATTCATTGGAATGCTTGGTAGGAATATTAACCCCTTTTCTGGTTTAGATGTCTTTTGACATCTGTCCTCCGATTGGTTGAATTGGTCATATTGGATGAAAACTTCCCAGTTAAGGAGTTAAGCCAGATCTATCAGAGAATTTATCAAATGCAGCCTGCATCATTCTTTATTAGTGCCAATTTAGGTTTTTAATTTCATTTTACTTTTATTGGTATACTTATACACTCAGAATAAAGTTTTAGTCTTCTTTCAGCTGATGAGTTTTGTGTCCTGTGTGGGAATCATCGTTGATGATGAGTGAAGACTGGATAGGAAGTCTAGTGTCCATTGACTGTGGCCCTCACTTAGGGGCATATCAGGGGCAGGTGAAGTATGTGAACCCTGTTGATCAGTGTGTCACTCTTCAGAAAGTCTTCCATAATGGCATTCCCCTGTCTCCACAGGAAGTCGTCATCAGGTGAGATATGCCTTGGATAAGATTCAGTGTGAACTCAGAATGTCATCTATTCATTTATAAGCCATGACATCTTTGTGCAAGAATGAGCCTCCTGATTTTTGCTATTTTAAGTTACTTTTAGGTCTTGGCCTATGCTTGATAAAATTTCCTTCATTCACACTTCCCAAGGTTGAGAATTTGTGTGCATCAACATGATTTGTTTACTTTTTTTTCTGGCTGTTCCCATCTATACATTCTTTTATGATACTGGCTCCTGGGCTGTAATAGGCTTTCCTTAAAGTATTTTAATGCTTACTCTGGTATGTCTGTTATTGGACTGGTACTCGTGCATCCAGCAGTCTCCACAATAAGATGGTTGAACATAATTCTGAATTTGTAGTGCAAAATAATTGTCCTTATCCTGGCTGATGGAAAATGCTGAGATGAGATTAAACTAAGTAACCCCAGTTACCTAACTATCAATGAATCCATTTGTTGCTGGAAACTTCATGTTTATGAGATTCCCATGAATTGAGTCTGATTTTTCTACTTCTGGAGGCATGCTGATAAGTATTGTGCACCTTCAAAAGATTTCATGTGCTTTGTGAAGTAGGCTTATTGGAAAATGCCCTCTGTCTTGTTTTTGTTGTTTTATTATACTTTGAAGCAATACTTTTTTTTCATTGTACTAGAGCTGAGGAAATAGAAAATTTGAGTATTCTGAAAAAGGGAGAAGGAAGGAGTGATACATCTGCTGTCAGCACTGTGAAGAAGCAGGGGAAGAAAATGACTAAGATCCAAGGGAATTTTTCGGGCTGTGATCCAGTAGTGAAGAATGGCACAAATGGAAGAGGCAGTCGTACTACTGACCCCAGTGACAAGAATGGAACAAATGGAAGAGGCAGTCGTACTGCTGACCTTAGTGACAAGAATGGGACAAATGGAAGAGGCAGTCGTACTGCTGACCCTAGTGACAAGAATGGAAGAGGGATTCGGATACCTGATCCTGTAGACAGGAGTGGGAGAGGGAATCTGCCTGACTCCTCTAGTCGTAATATTCGTATCTTACCAAGTGAGTACCATCACCCTAGTTATTACTAATTAGAATCAACTGCTTGCACTGATTTTCTTTCAGGAATAAAAGGTTCTACAGGACCAGATAATGTAGATAAAGAAAGGAAATAGTCACCAGTTTTTTCAACTATGTTTTTTTTGCTAGTATTGCACTTCATACTCACCTAGTAAAGTAGTACTTGATCTGCACTGTGTGTCAATTGCTTATTAGACATAACTCCAACACCACATTATCTCTGGAATATGTTATTGAGATGAAAGTACACAGGTTTTTGTGTTGTTGGGATACATCATGGCTGAGTGGTTGTATGAACAGGTGAGAGCTTGGGTCGCTCTCCTGACAAGCGAGAAGTTCAGAGGCAGAGGCAAGCTGAGAGAGATGAGGCCTGCTTTGGCACTCCTGTTGACAGCTTTGTTGGGGAGGACTTTGACTTTGAGAAGAACCTTGCCCTCTTCGACAAGCAGGTCTGAAAATTCATTCCTGGCCCCTCCCTCCCATGCCACAGGCTTCTGTTTATAAATGGAAATGAGTTGATTTGCTCTGAAGAGTTTTGTAAATCTTGCTGATTTAATGTAATTTCTGCATAATTCATAACAGGATTCCAAAAAGAATTCCATGAGTCCCCAAACAGTGTAACTTGTATCGATGAATATTACCACTACTAATTAAGTTTGAAATCATTTGAGGCCAATATTAACCCTTACACAACCTGGTATATTAACCCTTTTAGTGCCACAAGGCTAATCCATAGGCTTGGTCAATGCTATACAGGGTGTCAACAAAAGAATCATACAGTGTTTATACTGAAATGCACTTTCTTTTGCATGGACACCATTTTACTAAATTACAGACTGTAACAGCATGGGTTGTGCATATGGGTATGCTATGATGCAATCTGTAATTTAGTAAAATGGTGTCCATACAAGAGAAAGCGCATTTTTGTATAAACATTGTATGATTCTTTTGTAGACACCCTGTATATTATTCCTGTGGCTCTAAAAGGGTTAAGTGTGGGATCAACTCAAACCTTTGGATTTTCATTTTCAACCAAGGAAGCTTCAAATTAAGCCCAGGTCTTCCATCTAACTCATTTGTCTTTTAATTCACCCTATGGTTGCTTTAAAGTAAATCCTTATGTTCATGTATAGGCCCTCTTTAGGTAAACCCTTGAACATAATTATCCTCAATTTTCAGTTTTGTCCAAAAAACAACACTGTTCGGACAGTGACTGACTGTACATCTGTGCTTCCTGTCGAGAAGGCCATATTCGAATGTCTTAGCAGTAGTTTAATAGAACTGTCTATGATGCGACAAAAATCAGTTGGTCCCCTGTGGTTTTCTATTAAAGGAAAATGTAAGCACAAAAAAGGAGTTTTATAACTAAAATGGGAAAGCAGAGCCATGCCACTCTTTGCCACTTGTTGCATTGCCACTCTTTGTGGTGTGGCATCTAAAAGTGAAATGCAAAAGCTTTTGCAACTAATTGACCACTACCATAGATCACTGCTGATTATCACTCTATGTTGTAGCTTTTGTCCATGGGGAAAAATGCATGATTTTTTAATAATAAATGTTTGTCCATCTTTGAGGGCTGAGGCCATCCAGGAGGGTTTTATTTTTTAGTAGTTATAGTTAAAAATGAAGTGGCAGGGAAGTAGTGACTTGAAAATAGGCTTAATTTGAAATGATTTCGATTGAAAATGATGCAACAGGGTTTAAACAGAACTGATGGTAATCCCGGTTCAACTTAAGCTTGAAGTTAATGCTGCAAAGGTCTAAGTCAAAGTGGGAAAGGTTAATTTTGTTTCAGTGAGATTTGTCTGTAAGTTGCATTGGCCATTGGGATATCAGTTGTGTTTCCTTCCACTTCAGGCTGTTTTTGAGGAGATCAATGGTCAGAAGCCAGACTTAGTGAAAGGGGTTGAGGGGCGAAAGAAGAATGCCAAGTACAAGCATGAGGAGTCGGTTCTTCCATCATCTCTTGTAAGTGTCCCCTGCTGTATTTTTCTTCATAAAAAAATATTAATCCATGGCGATAGGTTTGCATCCATTCATATTATTCCCTTCTAACCCTGACTCGAAAGAATGGTGTCTAGACTTTCCCGTGCAAACTATTAGTTTGAGTTCAGAAAAAAGAAAAGCTCCATTCTTTATCTTGAGGAATATATATAGTTCTTATTGTAATATTTTCTTAACAGATGACCATAAAATAAAAAATGCCATGTCTCAGACATGCATTGCTTTCATTGAAGAAATTTTTAAATGCAAGTGATTTTTCAATGAATAGTAAATCAATTTAATTTTTCTTAATCTTTAGTCTCTTCCAAGTTAGCCAAGCTTGAGGGGGAAAAATAAAGAAAGCCAAATTTAAATTGCAGTGTGATAGAAAGCACAAGTCATTAGTTAATTCTGGGGTTAACTCTTTTATCGAGATATATAAGGAGATTTGGTTTGAGTCAGATGTCAATCCACATTTGATATGAAAATCAGATAGAGTACAAAATTCAAATAATCTGAAATGTATTTTTTCCTTTGGATGGTGGGGAAATTTGAGTTCATGGCAGTTGGAGGAGAGTTCAGGAGGTGAGGGAAAAAATAAAGATTACATTGGATTGTAATTCCAAAGACTATGTTAGTTCTAATTTGTTGAGTTTCCCTAAAGATTCAGAAGATTCTGTCACAATTTGTCAAATTATTTGCTTGTTTGTGAGTCCTAGTTGTTTTTGCTCATTTAACAAGGTGATATATGGTTCTATCTAGGTCTTATCATTTCACAGCATTAGTAATTAATCTGACTCAAATCTTTAAAAAATCTGATCTTGCTATTTCTGGGAGAAAGAACTGAAATGATTACAGTAAAATTTATGCAAAATGAGGATGATTCCCTGTTTGCTGTACTTGCTTCAACCTCCTTTGAAATATTAATGCTTGGATGACATGTTGAAGCAAAGAGACAGAGGTGCTATACTACCACATGATCATAGCAAGACTCTGTAGTGGTAGGAGATGAGACATCTTACGAATTGATAGGTCTAGAACCAAAGGTTTGTGATGATGTGGGTCAACTGCCATCATATCTTGAATCCTATTGGTGATTGTCAAAGGGAATGATGAGGATAGGGTCAATGATTCTAGTTAGGCTTTGTTCAAACTATGACTAAATCTCATAGCTGAGCTTACATAATAAGGATCAATACCTCATTCCCTCATAGGAAATGTATGCAGCAGTTTCATTGATACTCTCTATTGATGTTAAAAGAGTATCTACCCCTTGTGATTCTTCAGTTGATTCCAATAATATTCAGGTGAATTGTTCTCAAGATGGAATGGCCTTGCAATTCATGCTCCTCCTCACTTTTTTTCCCATCTAAAATACTTGGGCTCAATGAGTGAATGAATGAACAATTAGACAGTCACTTGTTTCCCAATATTATCCCTTATTCAAACTGTCAATTGTTTCTTTATGAAATTTTTGGGTGCAGGTGACAAGAAGCAAGGAGAACTCTTGGGTGTCAGATGATGGGAAGGTTGTGCCAGGTTTGAGTCTGAGCATGAGGGAAGACATCTTCAAGAAGGCAAAGGAGAATGGTCTCAGTCTGGAAAGGCAGCTGGACATGATGGGTCGTGGTGCAGTAGAAATGGTCCTCCAGCTACTTGGTGGCAGCCAGAGGTGAGATTAGGGATGCTTCTTCTGGGTTCCCTCTCTTGATGACAGAGATATTTACCCATCACTTGGTGTCCCTGGGTGCTTGCCTGGGTTCTACTTTTCTTGCTGAATTTGGAAAAGATTTAAGTTGTTGCTCACTATTGGAATTTCCAGAATATAGCCTTATCAAAAGCAAAAGATATATGCATATGTTTCTATGGCAAGTTGTGTGAAGTTTACTTCATGCTTCCATGGTATGGGAGGGACTTGACTGCATTTAATGATTATTTATATGATGAGTGTTGTGTTTTACTTAGAAATGGGAAAATTCCCAACCACTCAACCTTATAGTCAAGATGATCCAAGCTTATCTGTTATCAGGTTGAACTCAGGGAACTGTCATCAGGCTCCTTGTGTGGTGATTTTGTGTGGGCCATCATGGCAGGGTGCAACAGCCTTGAATGCAGCTCGCCAGATGGCATCTCATGGGATCAAGACTGTGGTTTATCTCCCTGACTTACCATCATCTCCACCCTATGTTCTCAAGGAGCTCAAGCTGTATAAACTCACCAATGAATCCCTCACAACGTCTGTCCTTGGTAAGTATCCTTGGTCAGACTGTTCAATTGAAAATTTGACTCAATTGATCAAATTAATCATGATTCCATCTGTAAGGTGGTGTGAATCTGAATTCTTCACTCTTGCTAACTGTTTATAGATGCCTTGATGCCTTCTGTTAGAAAAATTGGGTTTGTTTCATAAAAACATGGCAGAAACTATTGCAGAAAATGGTTGCCTATAACCCTATTGGATATAGTGTATACTTTATTCAGTAGTCATGCAAAGGAAAAACAGCAAAACATGACATCTGTGGCTCTGTTTTTGTTAATGAAGTCTCATTCTTTAGTTTTTTTGTTTCTTTACACTTAGTGACACTGAAAAACTGATTGAGATCAAATTAAAACTTCAACTTCAATCCCATCACCTTCTGTTTAGCCTGATTGAGCAGTGTTTTTAAATAAAGTATTTTTTCGTCTCCCATCAGGTCTTCCAGACACATCAGTGGACCTAGTTGTGAATGGGACTGAGAACCATGAAGAGGCATGTAGTCCACAGGGGAGTTGGCTCACCCCTCTGGTGCAGTGGGTGGCCCAGTGCAAGGCCCCAATCCTAACCCTAGATCCTTCTGTCTCATTCCAATCTAGCCCCATCAAGGGAAAATGGAACCTAGTGCCCCTGTTTCCCCTCATTTATCAGGGTAGCACCCCCCCACAACCCCTCTATGTTTGTGATCTCGGCATCCCTGCCCTCATTTTCTCCCAAGTGGGTGTTCAATATCGTTCCCCATTTGGAGCAAAATTTGTCATACCTGTGCATCCTCGCTCTTGACTTACCTGAAATTTTGTTTCCATCTCCATCCAAGCAGTCAGTTCGTCATCTCGTCATCTACTGGTGTCAGTGCTTATGGTTCCTTTGCATTGTTTTCATGTTGGCACATCATGGAGACAGTTCATACCTCTGACACCTGATTGCTTTTTTCACTCTTTGGAGTTTGGATTCTGGGTCAAATTAGGTCCAGAGAGTATGATGGTATCCTTGCCAGTGTCATCTATGATATGAATTTCTGCAGGGGGCTCTTCCCTCAAGAATTAGTTCCACTTACATATGAGAACACCACAACTCTCATGCAGCCAAATACAGCAGCACCACTCAATGGTTGAGTTGGATGAACTGTTAGTCCATTGGTGCCTTATGCCCAATGGTAATATTTGGTGCAAAGGTTGACTCTTCTTGAATTCAGACTCATTCCTGTTCATACAAAAATCCTCAATAAACCAAACTGGGAGTTAGTTTAGTTACAGGAGGATAGAATGGGTCCAGAATCCATGCATCATGAAAAAAAAGCAACTTATTCCTGTCAGATTTTTGTATGTTTTTAATTTCCTTACATCATGTTGTGAGCATTTTGGGAGACACAGTTACCTCTTTGTAAATTGTAACATACTATCAGTGCATTCATGTTTTCTTTTGCCTCTCCACTGTTGTCTTTTATTTCTGCTTCAATAGATTCCCAAAGGAATCATCTGTGGTTGTGGTTCCATCACACTGTTCTTTGTTGATGTCCTTGCTGTTGGCACTCTATCTCATTTCATCTTGCTTTGCCTACCTGCATATATAGATCAGAGTCAGGATTTATGGTTCTCTGATAGGTCTTATGTATAAGAAAGCATGTGTCAAAGCCGTATCAATCTGTTGTGTATTTTTTTATTATGATTCTTGCTGCCTACACAGGTGTCCACCATTCTTATCAAATGGTAGCAGTGATTTGCTCCTCCCTTGTGGTTGGGAGAGAAGAAGAAAAGTGAATCTAGCTTGCCTGACAGTTGGATAGGTTTTTCTTACTCTTTTGGTGGATATCTTCCCTGGTTTCAGCAAAGAGGCAGAAGGCTACATTTAATATGTTAAAAAGATTCTTTCGTCTCCCTTAGAATGGAAAAGTGGAAAAAAAAAAAATCCCATGGATATTCCAGGTGGTAACATGAGCAGTATCTCTGATTCCTTTGGAACTCTTCTTTCCATGAGTTTCATGATCTCATGTTCTTGTTTGAGACTGTTTCATGAAAATGGCCGATTTATTTAAATGTTTTTCTTGGTTGACCCCTTCTAAAACCAAAGATTAGATTCTTCTTTCTTCATTATGCCAAGCTGAGATGCCAGCAAAGTTGCAGTTGGAAATGAAATGAAGCATTTGTGTTCTATGATGGCTATCACAGTGGAGAAGAAGTTTTCAGAAGTTCATTAAGGATAGTTTTCATGCATCTTGGAGTTTCATAAATTACTCAATGTTTCCTTGGAGCGGTTTAAATTACATTAGTAACATTTGTCACAGTAATGTGCTTGTGGCTGGCTGATATGATGCAATGGTCTGTAGGATATTTGAAAAGTGTGACCTGATGCTACATTTCTTCAAAACTTCCATGTGCAGGGGCAAAAACTGGTCATAGACCATTCATCATCATCCAGTGATTCATCTTCTGTCATGCATCTCTTCACTATAAAGTACTTAATTTCTCTATCCTTATTTAGTTGAGTTTTACCACAGGGAGGGAACCTGCTTTTGCCAGGTAACCAGTTCTTGTCTTTCCTATTTCTGTTTGGGGCTCTTCCTCCTTACCAGAAGGTCTCCTCTCTGGCTGTGAATGTGTTAATGGAAAGAATGTCATTTGTCTCTATGGCCTTTCATCTCCCCAGAACTCATCTGTAACAACTTAACTTTTTCCAGTTTTTCATTTGAAAAAAAGCTACTGAAATTTTTCGCCCTCTCCATACCCTGTGATTCTTGTGCTACAGAATTTATAGAAGCAAACCAATGTGAAAATTCTTTTTCTTTTCCCTCTCTGTAGGGACACTGTTGAATCTCCTGCAGGTTCTTCTGCACTGTCCTCATTGTGTACTGGCTGCCATTTAATTTGCATTGAAATTGCAACACTACAAAGATATCATCCAAGCACTCCAAAATGCTCCCCCAGGGCAGATGATGGACCTTCAAGAAAATGATTGCAGTTACAGAGAAGTGGCACCACCAATTAGTATGGTGTGTGCTCGATTTTATGCACCCACTTTAATAAATAGTATTACCATCCCTGGCTGCAACGCTAGCCTGACTAATGTAGCATACAAGCATAGGAGCTTATGAAGTAATATTGCATCCCACACACTTAGTGGTGCAATTTGTTTGCAAAGTTGTTTTATTGGCGATGTGTCCCCTGCCACCATGCAATATTTGATAGCACTAGGATGATTCCTTAATGGTGTTGCAATTTCAATGCCTGGCAATTCAATGTGCTGTAAGCCTGTTGATCCCATTTGCTCTAATCCAGACACTCAATATTTTTAGGAAATGAGTAGGACTTCATTGGAATGCTACATTGAGTGATGTTTTTGGAAGGAAGAAAAAAGTCAAGGCTAGTGCATCTGATTTTGGGGTTTTCCATTGGCATGAATGAGCTCATGTTTGTGTGATATGGGATCTGGGGAAAGGTCTGTGTGACCTCATCTTTTGCATTTTTCATCCAATACTTGTAGGCCTACTGTCATGTGGATTAATAATAGATCTATTCCTGTCATATTTTCTAGTCCTTTATTTTTTTTCTCTTTTTTCTTTTCGTCCATTGAAAGCATATGTTAGGCCTATATCTGTTGAACTCCAAGAGAGTTTTTTGAGGCTGAAGGATTCTTTCTAATTTGCTTCTTATGTCATTTGCCATGATTTACATGAAGGTAGGACATTTTATTATTTGCATTTGTGTGACTTGTGGTGTTTGCTGGCAAAATTGGTCACATCAAGCCAAGGCACTCTACAGTTTCTGTCATAGATGGTCATAACCTGCCAGGAAGCAGAGTACAGCAATTCTCAGTATTCCCTTTCTAGATCTCATGCAATCTCTAATTTTGCCAATATGTTGGTTAGTAACCCTTCACCTCTGGGGATGTCAATTTAACTCAACCGTTGGAGAGAGTTTATTCAAACCACAACTGTGAACTGGAATCCTTTGGTGGTCCTTGTGCATCCTTTGCTTAGCACTTGCATTCTCAGTGAAGAAATGGTGACTTACCAGGAATGAAGGGATAATCCTCCAAAGTATGTGGGCAGATGTCCCTTCCAGGGCCTGGAGAGTGGACCCAAGGGGATAGCATTTATATCAATGCCTCTTGTGAAGGATGCCAGCTGAATTCAGACTGGAACGATTCACTCCTAGCTGTTGGGATGGAATAAGGATGCATTCCAGGCTCTGATTTGTGCATGCTTTGAGTGCTTTAGGACCCAGTGACTGTTGTCTCTTCAAACAGTTGCTGTTACTGTCCTAAGTGGATATTCTGATGACCGGGCAACATTACCTGGTCTTCGGTTATTCACTTAATTCCAGACAGCATGTTTTTCTGGTGATATTTACCTGCTTTTGTCATTTCAATTATGTGCAGGAATTTTAAAATCATTATTGTGACCTGCAGGAGAGCCTCGTCCTATGGGTATTAAATGAACCTGAACACGAGCTGGCGAATGAAATACTCTCGCTTCTGATAAAATTTCCGTCATGTTGTGGATAAGGTTTCTGCCCCTGTTCCCTGGTCAGAGAAGGAAAAAAATATGAAATTCTTCATTTCATTCTCTTATTCCAAGGACGGTGCTTACTCCTTTCTCCTCAACTGTGGAAAAAAAAAGAATTGCTTTGAGAACAATTCTGCAAGTGTGGTCTTATGCCAGGGTTACTTTTTTTACAAGTTAGACGAGTGCATCTGTAGGCCATAAGAGTGAAATTAAATCTCGAGGAGTCAAAGGTGAAACTAAGACGCTTGAGAAAAGCACCGAAAAACATTCCATCTGGAACGTTTATAGCACGTTACATGAGTGTACTGATTGCCTCTGCGCCCTTGCCGAGTTTGAGTCGAGTTTAGTCTGAATTCAGGCTGCATCAGGCAGATGAGACGTTGTATTGGCTGTCCTCGGGGTAGGTGCTGCTTGCTTGTGTACCAGGAAGGGAATTCTGTCGCGCAACTCTGTAGTTGTTTGATGGTGAATGTCTCCTTTGGGGTGTGGGGTTCCTCACAGGCACTGGAATTAATGTTCATGGTGTTCATCTACACTACATCTAATGTTCATCTACATTATCCTTGGGTGCCGATTACTGATGCGACAAGGGAATCGATCCCATGTGGCAACAGTTGTCAAAAAGGGTACCAGCCACCTGTGCACTGTGCATCTGTCTCGTCACAGGTGCTTATTTAAATTCGAAAAAGGAACAAAGACTGCATGAAAGCTGGATCATAGTGCTTCTGGATAGAAGTGGCAACTTATCAGGGATTTTACCATTTTTCTTGGTGTGATTTATGGAAACTGTTGACCTGCCCTTTTGGTGATTTACCCACTGTGACAAAGGGATCATCTTATTGTCTTATTCATTTGCAGTACTGTATGTTTGTGAAGGTAGTCAGAAGCCTTTCTCCTCTCCCATGCTGCATGTGCGTCACCCTGATTCTTCTCTCTCGTTCCCTCCCTCTCAAATTGGAATATTTTGGACGAAATATACGATTTTTCTCCTTCTCCTCACATCTGTACCTGTTCCTGTCATTTGGATTGTCATCAGTGGGAACAGTAGTCGGCAGGAATTCCGAAACGAAAGAGATAAGCTGGAATGATCCGGCAGGCTTTATGCGGAAATGTTTTCATTCCGTTTTCCCATCTAGTTCCAATGATGGAAATCCACACAATCTATTCCAGAAAGAAGACAGCACCCATTTGCCCATCGTTTTGTGTGTTTGCTATATCAGGGAAACACAGAACAGGAAGATTGCAAGATGTTACGACCACACACGTAATGTTTTGCAGGATCCCACCTGCTACGAAAGTAGTAATTGCCCATGTCTTCGTGAGTGTTTCGTAACAAGGCCACCTTACCGAGAAGTGGGAGTAACCAACTCGGCTTCAGACGTGACCCGAGTTGTGCGTGACACCGCGTGATGACGTCATCCTAGTTCATCCTTAACAGTCTGGCTTTCCAATGATGCGTCCCACTATTCCAAAGATACAAATGCTGGGCGAAGGAAGGAAGAAGATTCTTCATGTCGAAGGCGAAAAATAGAAGGGGAAGGGAA